GTTACTTCACACACAGAACAACTGTGTCTGAATCTTGTCTGCCCACATACATATTCCATAGTGGTTGAATACACAGTATTAGGAAACACTTTATACTTACTGGACATGTTATACTCATTACATACTGTATATAAAATATGACCAAGAATGTGAGACAACTTTATAGAAATTCATATCACATCTGTTACTGATGCCATTTGTCATACTTTGTTAAACTCACAAATAATAAAGTTCCATAACTTCAGTTGGGAACAAAGACCACACCTTATCTCCCCAAGGCAATTTCCCATCCAATAGGTGTGCTATATAGGTGTGTATAACCCTTTCTCCTGTCTGTTTATCCCTCTTTCAGCACAAGAACCAGAGGGGGATTCAATGGAGCCTGAATACCTGCACTGAGACCCTCACCCTGCACCCTGAGTCTCAACTCTGTGTTTTTCAAGCCTTTCCCTGTTTTTTTTGTATTAAACAAAACATTAAGCTTTCCCAATGGTGTGGTTTTCGTTTTGTGAAAAAGTGCAAATGCAGTGTTTGTATATAATTACCTCACATATGTTTTTGCTGTTGGTCGTGAAATTGCTCCTGCTGACTTGAGCCAGCCATTTTTTCCTCCGCTCTGTGTCAGTGGGGAAGCCGTACATTCGTACTCCTTTCTCGGAGCGATTTGAGCATCCCCAGGCAGCACAGCAAACCATGGTGGCGACTAGGAGGCAGCACAGCAAACCAGGACAACACGGAGGAAAAGGCACAGACAAACTGCATGATATGCTATTCAATGTTTATTGAATTCCATGTATTTGCAATGGATGTTCCTAAAACAACACATTTAACATCATCATCATGCTGCTGCTGCTAGTCCTTTGATAGTCACCTGTCGGTCTCCTGTCCTTTCTGAAAGCCATAAAGATGACATTAGTCATTTAGATAACTTGTGTCCTCAATTACCATGGGATTACTGAAACTACCATGAATTTAAGAAAATGGTAGACATTAATCTAATCTGAATTTTAAAGCATTACTTTAGATCCCCTCCCTCTAAATATATCAATAAACATTAGAAAGTGATGCTCCTGACTACCATACAAGTTTAAGAAGATAATATTGGTTTTAAAGAATTCAAAGCTATAAATAAACAGCAACAGGCTCTTTAACCAAGGCACTATTAGCCTAACATGTAAACTAGTTGTTCACACTAATCCTAATATTATCACTTATTATTAGCAAATTATATTTTATTTTTTAAAACATATTGATGTAAATACATACACATATCGATTTGTTGTATAAAATATTGCAAATCAAAACCTCACTAATAATTATCAAAAATCGTAGTTCTATCTCCTGTTATCAATGCATTCACATTGCCCGCCATGAACTTCCGGGGAACGATCCTCGTCTACATGAACCACGTGACGATAACCGTTTTTGGACTTCCGTTGTCGTAACTCTTCTATTATATGGCTCTGGTTGCAGCTCTCCCCCCCCCCCCCCCCCCCACTAACGGCTCGGCGGTGTCGTCAGAGTCTAACTCCCGCCTTCTCCAAATAAGGGCAAAGAGGCGGAGCCGAGGCGGGACAGAGCGGGACCTGCTGCCAACGATAGGGGTGGGCGATACCACAAAATCTAGATTCGATCCGATACCAAGTATTTCAGGGCCAGTATCGCCGATACCGATATCGATACCGATACTTTTTTTAATGAAAAGCGTCTTATGTACTTTCATATAGGGGAGAGCTGCATGACATGATTTTTTAGCTGAAATCATCATAAATAGACTAAATCTGAATTCATTTTCATGAATAAAGACAGGACAGTTTTTATAGACAAATACACGTTTTACTTTTGCAAATTTAAAGTGCAAACATGAAAAATAACAATACAAAGTGGCCAAAGTAGCGAACTGTCTTCTTGCACACATCACAGTTCGCTAAGTTTTAATGGCCAGTTGTGAAATTGCTCCACACAACGCTGCTCTTTCTCTCAGCCATCATGCGCGTGTGTGTGTTGCACTCGCGAGTCGCTGGCTGCTGCTGTCCTGCCCTGCTGGCTGCTGTCAGTCAGCTTGATAATCGGCGTTCAGGCACGGAGCCTCGAGGAGAAGAGGACAGCAGTGGAGAGAGAAGAAAAGAGCATATACTTGTGTTCGTCTGCACATAGTTTTTTGAAGAAATTGACGAGTAGAGGAGACGAGAAAAAAAGTATAACAGTATCGATCCTATTGGCTCTAGTATCGATATTTTGAAACGTAACGTAATATCGGAGGTATCGATATTTTGGGATCGATCCGCCCACCCCTAGCCAACGAGCGTGACGTTCGAGTCCTAGCTCAGGCTAAGAAGCTAAGCTAACATGCTCTCAATATCAATCGAATGTAAAACATGATTGATGAAAGTAGTAAATCGGTCAGATTTGACCCGAAGACAACAGGAGGGTTAATGCCATATTCACTTAGTAACGCATGAACAACTTTTACAAATATTTCTATATAGTCTGTGTTGGTAAATGTCATCTAGGTTGCACATTTCCTGCTGAAATACATGCATACCAAGTCACTGCGTGGCACTTTGGTTTTGATAAAACAGTGTAGTTCCACTATATAAACGTTACATTCATAATCAAACGAGACAATCTGCAAGATAATTAGCTATTTGGTATTATTCTTAATGCTTGTCATTCACACGTTAATAAAATAAAATAAGTACCGATACATAGCAGAATAATTGTGGCGGTGTTCAGCTTAATAAGCCTTGCTCAACATCATTTATTTAGCTAATAATACAGCGGGCTGCAGGCGAACCAAGTCCGCGTTACGATGCATTCCTTGATCTCCAGTTATAACGCCGGACTCCACCGCTGGCCGAAGCTAACGGAGCCCCAGGGTGCTAGCTACAGCCGCCGGGACGCGCTAGCGAGCTAGCACCCTGCAGCCCCGTTAGCTTCGGCGGCGTGGACTCCGGCGGCCCACCCGTTTTAACATTTGCTCCCGTTTAGCATTATGGGCGTCATAGCCATATAGTATAAAAGTCTTACCCAAGGCTGAATCATAAACTAAACTGTATATATGTATAAAGGGTTACGTCCTTAGCTGGCTAATAAGCTACATAACAGGCTAAGCTAACAAGCACACAAACACCTGCTAACGGGGTTAACATGTATAATATTATCATTTTACTCACCGAAAAAAGCTTAAAGTAGACTTCTTGGAAGATCTGTTAGTACATTCAAGCGCACAGCACGACATTTTAATTATCTGGTATTTGTAACAATATTCCCTAACAGGCACGATCACCACGAATACAGCTAAAGGATCAAGTACAGTAACAAACGTTGTAGCCTCTATGGTTGTAGCCTAGCAGATTGGACAAGTTGCTGTTAGCTGACAGTGAGGCATGTATCTGTCAATCAAAGTGACCACGCCCTAATGTATGCAAAAACTTTAAGACCTAATATAACAGTGACGTATCTCCAACGAGGCGTTTTGGGGAGGTATTTTCTGTTTTAGAGTTTTACTCCCTACATGGTGTACTTTGAGGGTTTTGACTGCACACCGTTTACATGCATAAAAACCTTCATAACACACAAGGGGACGGGTACTAACCGGAAAAGCATGACATGTCACCTTTAATGCATTGCATAAAGATCGGATCGGGAAAAATCGGTATCGGCAGATTGTCAAAATCAAATGATCGGATCGGGAGCACAAAAAGGTAATCGGGACATCCCTACTCGCTACCTCATAATGTTATTTGTCTTTACTCCAAATATTTCTTCTTTTTTACATTCCTGGCAGAAATAGCTTTTCTACAATGAAAGCTCATCAACAGTAGCCTATAGAGTATTTTTTTACATCTCAATGTGAATGGAAATGCTTTGAGGCCTTAAGGTAGAGGAAGTCCAATTCCTTTTTCAGACCCATACAGTGGCGGCTCCAGGGTATGGCTGGGGTATACAGCCATACCAAGTAATGGCTTAGCCCCACCATGAAAGATTATGTTAAAGTAAGCAAAAAAAAGTCCGCCGAGTAAATTGCACAGACAGCAGCGAGATTGATTTCAGTAGCCACTTGTATAATTTTCTAATCATAAATCTATCGAGTAGATCATAAATCTAATCGATAGATTTATAATTACAAAATTATAAAAATAGGGACATGTGGATATTATCCGGCTGAACAAAACGTGCATTTATCTAACAGGTTCGTTTTCCACAGACCTTATTTAGAACTATTTTCCAAAATCCTATGGAGAAATCCCATTTATTTTTGTCGAGGGAACCTTATTATATATCCATGGAGGGAACCGGTGGGAACCTTATACATCCATAGAGGGAACCCATGCGCAGCTTACTTCCGGGTTTTAGGATGCGTCACTGCACCACTCGAAGTCCCGCCCTTCTACTAGTCAACTAGAAAGACTACAAATCCCAGAGTCGCGTAAGTGATGTCATTAACATTACATATTACACTTGTGTTACTCACCGAAACCTTGTAAAGCCGGACCCGCATGCTGGCTCTTACGGAACCGACTAACTCCCCTTTTTTGTATGTACAGCTCTCAACATGCTCAGACTTGTAGTGATTTTCACCTCTTTTAATACTTTTCGCCTTCTGAAAGAAAGAGGTGAAATGTGCTAACGTGACGGCCATCTTGGTGTTGGTGAAGTGTGCGAGACCATAGTTCATTGAGCGTTTCACACAAATAAATGTGTTACTTCACAGTTTTACAACACATTTTTATTTGTTTTACTTGCAAAATTATCTTTTAAATTGAACAGCATCATATGTGTAATTTGTGGCACAATTCAAACGGGATCGAAAGATAATCTTTCTCTCGCCATTGACTTCAATACATAATTTTTCCGAAATAAGGTCCCCTGGAGGGGAGGGACTTCGCCTCTCTATTACGCTACTTCACTGTGACTGGTCAATTGCTTCAGTGGGAGGGACCAAATGCAGCTATTTAGACCAGCACAGACACAGTATGTTTAGAAAAAGGTGAAACCTTGAAGAGAGAAGCATTTGAATCCAACAGAAGCTGCATAGTATGAGGAGAGAAGTCATTTTACTTCAAGAAAATATGAAGTGGCCAGCGATTTTTGTCTTGCTGAGCATATGCTCACAGGTAAAGTAACAGACTAAAATGTGTTATAGTCATTTTGCTTATTTCATTTCAGGCTCAGAAATCCTGTTTTTAAAAAGGAACGATACAATGTTACAGTCAAGTAGTAGGAACTTGAATGTCATATAAAGCCATAACCGTTTTTATTTTCTTATCTACATTTGCAGGCTGCAGCACAAGGTATGTATTTTACCATAACTACACTGCAGATGGTAATATCATTTTCATATGAGAATGAAAGGGCACACAATATTGATGGTATATGTATCTGTAAATGAATCAATTTCTCAGGGTGTAAAAAAGTAGGCTACTTTAAAGATGCTCTCTCATCAGATATCGAAGTATCCGTGTTCTCTGCAACATCGAAGAGCGCGATTCTCAGATGGACCAGGGTCTACGGAGCCAGCTCATACAAGGTCATCGCCGCCCCCCAGAACTCCCCAGGCAACCCCGTTGGTTATGCCTTGTTTGGTCCAAACACAGTGATGGGCACCATCAACTCTCTGTCCCCAAACATCATGTATACATTCACAGTTGCAGCTCTGGATAATGCTCAAGAGATACTAAACATTGGAACTATCGATTCTTCCTCAGGTGAGGTAACCTTGTGATGTTAAAGCACTTAACTGAGTGTTTTATTCTTGTTTAGTTTCATCACACAAAAAAAACGTTCTGGTGCATGTGTTTTTAGTTAAGTTAGTACAGTAGGCCTATGGTTTTATTCTGATATTCGGGCAAACTAATTATATACATATCGTGTGTGTATATACAAAAGTATTGGGACACTCCTCAATCATTGAATACAGGTGTTTCATTCAGTTCCATTGCCACAGGTGTATCAAATCAAGCACCTAGCCCTGCAGTCTGCCTTTACAAACATTTGTGAAAGAATGGGTCGTTCTAAAGCACTTTGAGCACCAGGAAAAGCGCTTTATAAATGTAATTTATTATTATTATTAAAGAGCTCACTGAATTTGAACGTACTGTAATATTCCACCGTTGCAACAAGTCAGTTCGTGAAATGTTTTCTTTCGTAGATATTCCACGATCAACTGTAAGTGTTATTATTGCAAAGTCTAAGCGTTTAGGAACCACAGCAACTCACGTAAAGACCACGTAAAGTTACAGAGCGGGGTCGCCGAGTGCTTAAAAGTCGCCAAAGCTCTGCTGACTCAATAACTGCAGAGTGCTGCCACTGGAGTGCTGCCATGCAGAGCAGTGGAAACGTGTTCTGTGGAGTGACGAAACACGCTTCTCTATCAGGCAGTCTGATGGACGAGTCTGGGTTTGGCGAATGCCAGGAGGACGTTACCTGCCGGACTGCATTGTGCCAACTGTAAAGTTTGAGGGATAATGCTGGTTGTTTTTCTGGGGATTCTTAATGCTTCATCTTACCAAGTCATTTTGGACAATTCTATGGTTCCAACTTTGTGGAAACAGTTTGGGGAAGGCCCTTTTCTGTTCCAGCATGACTGTGCCAGTGCACAAAGCATGGTCCATAAAGGCCTGGTTGGATGAGTTTGGTGTGGAAGAATTTGACTGGCCCACACAGAGCCCTGACTTGAACACCTTTGGGATGAACTAGAACGGAGATTCCCCAAAATCTTGTAGAAAGCCTTTCCAGACATTAATATAGCTGCAAAGGGGGAACCAACTTCATATTAATGCCCAAGAATTTGGAATGGGATGTCATAAAAGCTCCTGTAGGTGGCCCAATACTTTTGTCTATATAGTGTATGTGTGTATATATGTATATACTGTATACACATTACAGTCAGAATGTTTTTTAAACATTTGTTTTCTGAATAACTAATGTAACGTGTACAACATTTTAAACACTTAAATGGTACTTTTGATGAGGAGCACAGAAGAGTCACTGTTAGTGCCTCATGATTTAAATAAGCCTTTCTTTAAGCAAATAGTTTTATTTTTATTACATTCAGCATTCAAATTGACGTACTGTTGCGGACACAAAATAAATTGTTTGCCCTGAAATCTGGTGGTAAAAAGATGGCTTGCATTGCCAACTACCGCTGAGAAGGTGTAGTATCTCGTCAAACTGTATTTCTTGTGAATCTTTTAGCTCCTGAGGTGATGGATCCCCTCCTGACAGTGAAGTCGAAGGACAGCAAGACTTTTATCGTGTCTTTCAGCTTGAAGACCGGGGCGACATCTTACATCATACGATTGCAGAATCCCAACCGCTTCATCAGAGAAAACATCGTGTCCTCCTCCCCCGCTGAGATTGAGTCCCTCGACCCGTACACAGAGTACTCACTCGGCATCATGTCTGTGAACAGTGGAGGCCAGAGCCAGCCATCTTCCTCTGTGACTGCAAAGACAGGTACTGTTGTAGCATTTGTGTCCATAATTCAAGATTGAGAAACAAAACCTCAAATGTATTCAGTGGGTAAACAATTAACCCCCAAGGGCTGGATTATAGCAATGAGTCACATATTCAGTAAGAAACAATATGCGCTGTTCTTCTCAGTCTCCATACCCTGTAGAAGTCACTTGATCTCCTTAATTGTCTCTTAGCAGAGTATACAGTCCTGTCATGGAATTTATACACACATTATCTTCAGTTTTTGTGCAAAAAGAATCCAGGGTTTTTCTTACCGCTCAATGGCTTGGGGTCTTTCCAGTAAAGACGGTAAGTATACCTGACCCTTCTATGTTGAACACAATAGGAGGACCTGATCGTGAGAACATGGCTGGCACCTCTCTACTCCATCCCAAGGGGACTATCTGATCCAAAAATCTGAGTAAAAAATAACATGCTGCAGGCAGTCATCGTTTTTGTTCGCCGTTTGCCATTATTCACCTCTGATTTTGCTTCCTTGAATGTAGGTTTCTGTAAATGTAAGATTGAGAATAACTACACTATAGGTGGATTTATTTATACATCCACCATTTTTTGAAATTATAACGGAAGCTTTCCACTCACATGTTTGAAACTAAAAACAACTTTTTTACATCTAAATTCAAGATTGATTGCTCACTTATTCAGAAACAACATGAAAACTTTTTCTTTTTCTTTTTTTTTTAAGTAGGTACAAGTCTGTGAAGTGGCTGATACTTGGGTGCAGCCCACATTCTGACATCACTGCTTGGATCTGTGACTACTGAAAATACAAAAATTTGATTCACAAAAAAAGCAAGGGCTTGACTAGGACTGCTGTAAAACATACCAGAAACATGACTCAAGATATTTATTCCCTTAAGACTTGGCTTCAAAAGCATACATCTTAAATTACTAAGTAACAATCAAAGTCAAGAGAAACATATTTACTCAAAGTACAGTCGCCCTAATCGCTTCATAATGTTAAACTTTGTCCCCTCCACAGTGTTGCCCCCTCCTCAGCTCTCCGCCTCCTCTCCCAGCAACAACAGCATCACTGTGTCCTGGGCTCCTGTTGCCAACGCTGTCCAGTACAGCCTGTCTCTGTACAAGTTTGCCTGGAACACCACCATCATCACGCACAACACTTCCAACACCAATTGGATCGTCTCCGGCCTGGATATGGGCTCAGTCTACGTCATAAAGGGTTTCGCCTGGGACCCCGAGGGCCGCCAGGGAGAGGACAGTCTGTACATCGACCAGATGACAAGTAAGCGTGCACCGAGACTCTTTTCTGTGTGTGGGAAATACCCATGATTGCTCCTATAAGTATATAGAGTCCATGTGTCTTTCTTTTTGATCATGTAAGAAATATTATACGTGTAGTGATAAGAGAAAATATTAACTAGGCTTGACATTTTAAATAAACTTGCCACAGTCACAGAACTTTTTTTAGTGTGTAAAAACATATATCTTCAAATGATTATCATGAGATGTAGCCTCTATAGAGTCTATAAGCTACATAAAACATGACTGAAGTTGTTTTGAAATGGTATTAAAACCCTTTGTTTCATAAAGGCAACTACTCCATACAAGAAAAAGTTCTACATTTGAACTTGGGCGACTCCTAGTGGTAGTTCAAAAAGACACATAGGTAGCACTGGTCTTCTCTGGGGTGTCTTATTTGTCCACAAAGACTTATGCCATCACAAGAATACAAAAACTGTACAAATAGAACTAGTTATAAAGCCATGTTCCAATAACTAAACAAGTGTTGACATGTAAACAGTCATTTGATGCTGAAATAGTGGGTCTCTGTGTTGGTTTGAACTATATAAAATATTTTCAACCTCAGGCTGTGAAATCTATATCTAAGAACGGCAACCATCTGATGAATACAGTCTTATTAGTAATAACATTTTCCTCACGAAACATTACTGGTAAGAGTAATTTAGAAACTATTACTCTAACTATACTACTCCTCTTATTAGTGTGTTTTTATGTGTACTTTTATTTAATGCATCATTGGGCATGTTTTCACAGGACCTGCTGTGCCATCTATTGCCAATGTCTCCATGGTGATGAATAACGGTTTGGCCGGTATCTCAGTGTCCTGGGAACGGGATGAGGGGGTCTTTGGGTCCCTCCAGTACCATGTGATGAGCGACCAGAACCTCACCTGTAACTCCACATCCAGCTCCTGCACCCTGTCTCCAGTGGGCTGCGGAGAGGTACACACCGTCCGGGTCAGCACCTCCGACGAGGCCGGGCCCAGCGACCAATCCGGCCCCGTGGTGTTCATCACCTGTGAGTATTAGACTACATTTATTTCCGATCACACTTGTGAACTATCTGTTTGTAATAGGGCACCGTAGACATATAATGAGCAAGCCATAATAATGCAAGGAGTATTGGATTAATCACAAGATACTGTATAAGTGTTGGTTGGAAGTTATTTAGTTCATTACATCTTATTTAGCATCACTTTTATCCAAAGTTCCTTACACTTCGATGCCATAAATGTGACTACAGGATCAATTTGAACCTCTGATCCTTCCATTAATGGATTATCAAAATGGTTTACTTTGAAAGTTGACTAGAAATCTATTTGTCTTTGCATATTTATGATCTGTTTACGAGACAGCTATAAGATGATTCAATCTTCACATTCTCTTCAAACATAAACAGCTTTTTCTTCCCTTCAGAAGAATTCTTAATTTTCTCATGAATTTAATAGATTAAATCTAATATACAATGACATAAAACAGATACTTTGAACATACACTTCGCTACAAGAGTTATGATGAGAAAAACATTATGTTATACGTAGAATTCTAACATTAACACATTAGTGCTAGATATGGATAAAAAAATGATGGCAGCACTAGTTTGCTCTGAAACCCTCTGTCATTAAAATATGACTAAACTCCCTGCTGTCCTGTCCGTCAGTCCCCTGCCCCACACAGTCTCTGGCTGTTGTGGAGTCGACAGAAGGAAGCTGCATGCTGACCTGGGACACGGTGACTCACGTCAACAGCTACACAGCCTTCATCAAGAGTGGAGACGGTGCAGAGGAGAGCTGCAACACCACCAGCAGGAGCTGCACCTACAACTGCACATGTGGCCACACATACCTGATGTCTGTGATGGCCTTCAACCAGGCTGGCAGCAGTCCTGAAGGACAGGTTCTCAACTACACCACCT